CTGGATTGTCACCGACGCTGGCCGGAACTTCCACTCTGCGGAGTTCAAGGCGGCAGCTCGAGCACTTTCGATCGAGGTCAAGGAGGTGCCTGTCGAGGCTCATAATAGCGTGGGCATGGTCGAGAGGCGCCACAAGGACCTCAGGAGGGCATACGATATCCTCATGGCGGAATGCCCCTTCTTGAACGCCGAGTCTGCACTTCAGACCGCGGTCAAGGCAATCAACGATACCGCCGGTCCTAATGGCCTCGTCCCTACACTACTCGTCTTCGGAGCTTTCCCTCGCACCACAGACAACTCTCCCCCATCACCAGAGATCACCCAGCGTGCTGAAGCAGTCAAGAAGGCAATGAAGGAGATCCGCCGTCTCAACGCCGAAAGGAAAGTCGCAGTCGCACTCGTCGCGCAGGGTGAACTTGAACCTGGTTGGAGCTTGGCTGCTCAACTGGCATTGTTGACATGCCTTCGTGATGTGCTCGAGGGCCACTTTCTCCACCTCGTTACGCAGCAATAATAGACCATTATTGACACTTCGTTCCAACCGTACGGTTGCCCTGCTGACGTGTATACCAACACCTCCTCTTGCAGAACCACACACCGTGAGCGCCAATTATATGTTACTCTGAGCGGAATGCAACTAAGAGTCTACTTTGTGATATCTTTGTTAGAGATCCTAGCAGCCGTTCAAACCTGTTACCGGCCTAATGGAGTCCCGAACGATGTTGTTAGGCCCTGCCCTGTTGCCGCGGGCACCGAAGCAGCTGCATGCTGTTTCGAAGACCACTATTGCCTGACAAATGGTTTATGCTTCGAACCTTTGACGTTAACCATCTATCGACGGGCATGCACCGACGAGACTTTCCAGTCAAGCGGATATCCTAAATACTGTGACAAGAGCGACATACCTGGAAGTGATGAGTCTGGTTTTATTGGCGTAACAATTAGACTTTGTCCTTGATAAGAAGGATCTCTGACATCTGCAAATCTCTTAGACAAGTCGCTCCACATCGGCGTCTGGACTTGTGGCAACGCACGATTTTCTTGTAGCAACCTGCAGAATTGCGCAACCGGCAACTTCACCGTCAGTCTTCCCGGCAAGATTATGTTAAATGAGGCGGCGAGTACGGATCTCGGAGACATGGCCGCAGCTACATCTACGACTGGCAACAGTAGCGGTACATGCTCCATGGGCAATGATACAGACAGCAAAGGCAGATCTCCGCTGGCGCCCCAGCAGGTATCGGAGTGGGTGTTGGTGTACCTCTTGCGATTGTCGCCGGAGTACTGGCCGTGATGCTGTTACGCGAGAAGAAGAAGACGGCGAAGACGGCGAAGACATCGCAGGCCTCGGAGATGGTTGAGAACGATGGCTCAAAAGTCAGTGGCCTGAGCATACAGCCCGTCTGGGGTCATGCCCGTACGGGTCCTCCCGAACTATCCAACCAGCAACATGTTCGGCACGAGCTGCCACAGTGATTGAGTGTGGTGATCGTCGAGTAGCACTTGAGAACCACGGGAGCTGATCAGAGTGCAGAGCGATGTTTAAATATCTCAATATGCTTTCGAATGCTTCATGTATGGTTATGTGTCGGATTGGAAGTCCAATTCGACCGCGGATAAGGGCAAGAGCATGGGCCACCTCGAGGTGGTACAATCAGACCGCGACTACCCAACCAACCTACGGTTGGAATCTCCCTTTTACACATTACGCAGAATCAATCAATACAGAGATATTGATACTTCGTCACCCCCAGGACCCTACGGTTCGAACCAACTTCCCTGTGATAGGGATACCAACAGTATGTCTTAATTGTTTGTTTCTAGTCTGTTGTATGAGTGTAAAAATTCAATGGAAGAGGTATCAATCTCGCTATGTAGTGTACTGTGTTCGTGTGACCGGCACACTCAACTGTACGTAGATGCAAAGGAAATCGTAAACATGTACTCGTAAACAACATCACTCAGGCAGAATGTGCTGTTCGGCGTTTGTTGGCCCCGGAATTCTCTACCACAACGTTGCGATAGCAGCAAGAATGGTCGTCCAAAGCAGCGCCTTGGCGGGAGATAGCGAGCTGGCAAAGTTGCCTTCACCCTTCTGGCCCTTTTCAAATCCCTGTTCATCGCCGCCGAGGTACAGAGCACCAAGGTCTGTCAGACCGCCATCGCCGTCAAACAGTGACACGGAGTTGCCGGTCCATGCGTTGGCCTCATCTTTGCGGAAGGCACCGAACCAGGCATAGCCCTCGACGTAGTCCAGACCATCCAGATACGTCAGACTCTCGTTCATCATGGCGAGAGTGGCATCCGTGTCTTGTTTGGGGAGGGCCATCTCCGTGATCCAGTACTTGAGATCCGGAGATGTGGAGTTGTAGAAATCCCGAAGCCCGTCGAGGTGGTTCTTAAGGCCGGTCGCGTCGCCGTACCAGTGCACGGCGACAAAGTCGGTCGGGCAACCGTTGTCTTCAATGTCGTAGCATGACTCGTTGAACTTTTGCAGCCACTCGATGCCCTGCGAGGAGCCGGTGACTACTGGATGGCTGATGTTCCACTTGCGGGAGCCGGAGTTGCGGAAGGGCACAATGTGCTCAATGTAGGCCTTGGCAGCATCTTCAGGGTCGATACTGCTGCCGCCAGATGATGTCGTTCCGTCGGGCTCATTGAAAGTCAGAAGATGGGTGGATGATTCAGGTAGTGCGCTGAGACGTGAACTGAGGCCTGAATCTGAAGCATCATCGACGCCGTGGATGAGCGGGACAAAGGCGATGGAGCTGTTCAGGGCCTGTGCAGGCCATGTTGACCATGTGTAATACCAGCTGATCAGTGACTTTGCGGAGGTGAGCAGCTGGCTGTCGGCTGTGTGGTCGTCGCCCTGGAAAGCCAACCCACGTTTTGAGGGCAGGTCGGACTGTGCGAAGGCTGTGGAGTGGAGGGCCAGCGAAGCTAGCAATATGCGACTCGTTCGTCTCATGGTGCCGCAGGTACAGAAATGGTCCCTTATCTAACGTGAAAGAGAGTAGCGATTCGTGGAGGATGATCCTTGTGTGGTTTGATGCACAGAAATCGGGTTCGGATGCAGCCGATGGAGGTGCCAACTTTGCAGATATATTTGACAATCTTTCAAAATTCGACTATGCAAGTAAATAGCAAATGCTGCAAGGCGCAAAAGAACTTGTTTAGTCGAGAGCCTAGACAAGCAGGATTTCTTCTTGCTGACGGCTCTCACCGTCTCACGCCCATCTCAGTCATTGACCTCATTCAAGACCATCGCGCTCTTGGCGAGGGGCGACAATCCGGTGACGTCATACTACCTGGTCTCGTAGTCCTTGGTTGGTGCCAGTTGGACTGGCCAAGGCAAGCCCCCTTGTAAGCCACGCCGCAACGGTCTTTAACGCCGACAAAGTCACAAGAGAGAATTGAGAAGTTGGTCGGGCAAGGGTCCTGGTCAAGGCCCGTCATTGGTCTTGGGTCTAGACATGTGTTTAGCAAGGAGTGGTGCCATGGACACAAGGACTCACGTCCAGTTGCGGCTGTCGGCGATGGGCCCTGGCATGCCCCTGTCCAAACATGTCATCGGTTCGTCCAGTGAACTGAAAGACTGCCGTGAGTGCCTGAACTTGACTAATTGATGACCTTTACAAGGTGCGACCCAAAGAGGAAGCATTCACGACTTTTACTGTTGGAAAAGCAGAGTCCTGCGATTATCCACGTTCGCAGTGCTACTGCAAGCTACCTACCTATTACAACACTATCGCGAAAGCTAGACTTGATGACTTTAGTTGAGACGTGACTGCCCCGGGGCAAAATGGACACAACTGTTGGGTTTTGAGCTGAGTGCGAGTCTTCAATCCAGCGGAGCGTGGAAGATTTCTAGGGCAATGTTCGTGCTCAGTCTCTCATGTCATGATTAAGCGGTGCATGTGGTGATGGTCTAGGTATGTAGAAATGGACAACACTTCTAAAGACTAGAAGTTGACTTCGGCCAATTGAAGTTTATCATACGAATTCCTAGACGCTATCTGTATGGCAGCATAGTCCAATCCGATTCCGAGCTACTCGGAGCCTCGGGGAATAAGGTCGGCCTAGGCGACTGATTCGCATCGCTTACGAATACGAGCGCACTTGGCGACTGAACCCGCCTCAATGCCTTCAGAACTCGGTTCCTTTCCTCGGTACACCACATCCTGTTTCGGCCCTCGGAGCTTAAGCTGGCCCGAGATCATCGACTTCCCTAGACTTATTGTCAGAGCCCTCCCGGATAGGGGCTAGTCAGAGGTAGTAAGGAGTCCAAGCAACAAAGGAGCAGCTCAGATATATATACAGCGCAGGGAGTACACGTCGAGGGAGGAGTAGATTTCAGCAATTCATCATTCTACCCCTAACTGCAGTTGGCCTCTGAGAGCTTCCACCCTGCGTCAACATCCCAACTTGACAGTTATATAGAGATCAGCATTGCGTTGCAAACTTAATCCTTTGAGCCTATCACGAACGGTTGTATACGCGAGAGCGAGTCAGCATCAACTACAAAATAGGCGGGCCTCGTCTCATATCTATCAACTGTGAACTCAATTCCGCTGTAGAGCGGTCTCATATCAAATAAGCAACGGAGCCATCCGCGCCGCTAGGCGGTGTTAGGCGGTACTGGGTGAACTCCGTACGGGATATGTAATGCACATCAAGTTATTAACTGCTGCCGGTTGGCTCGACGGCTATCTCCATCACTCTATCCACGACAAGGTGGTAACAACTATGCCGCAGTATTCCTTAACTTAAGAAATTCCCCTGGAAACTTTCTTATATGATGTGGACCTCTCTCGCTCTCGTACTCAACGTGTTGAGTTGACTGTTGGCTGTTGATGTGATATAAATACAAGTCTTGGTACGACTTAAGCATTGAATTCATGGCCAGATCGTTCACTTCATAAATCATAACTCTTTCATACCTGAGTAGTTTAACCAGCCTGATCTTCCGTATCAACCGTCACTACAAGCCCAAATTCACCATGCATTTCCAAGCGACGACTCTTTTTCTGGCCGCCGCTGTCATCTTCCAGGGTGTTTCAGCACAATTTTGCACTGGCCCTCCCGCAGACTGCAACTTCGAAAATGTAAGATCTTCAGGGGACACTTCTTGACACCGAGTAATGGCAAGAGCAGATGCTGATAGTTCGACTCAATACAGTGCAGAATCAACTATGCTGATCCTTGGGCGACCTGCAAGTCAAAGGTTCGTGCCTGCTTGAGAGCAGCTGGTCCCTCGAGATTCAGTCAAATCCTAAACGGCAATGAGCTTTCTGAGCTGACTTGTATATCAGTGCACTCCCAACTCGAGCCGCGATGCCGCGGTTTCTTGCTGCTCTGGATCGCTGTACTGCCCGGCATGATTAAAAGCACCATAATTCGGTAGAAGCAAATTGTGACAACATCAAGGGAGTGGAGCTTACGACTAGTTGCATCGAGCGCATTGGTGAGATCGCTTGTCTGTCTTTTGCCGTAGGTTGAGAACATAACTTCGGCATTTCAAATGTACATAGTGAGTTCTATCTTTACCTTGGTCGAAGGGGTAAACGTGAATTATCATAACGATTTCATACCTCTTGGTCAGTATGGGCCTGAAAATTGGCAACGTCATGTATCCTTCAACTGTGACTACCCGTGCCCGCCCCCACTTTAATTGGAACTCGAGAACTCGTCACCCACTAAAGTGGGTGCTGAACACCCAAATGATCAAAAATCCCTCAAACTTACCATCTACATCACCACTTCAATCACTAGCCACCACAATGGGCAAATTCAACCAACTTCAGGAATCTCGTATCCAAGAGGCTTTCCAATCGATTCGTCAAGATCCAACATTGAAACTCACAGCGGTTGCTGAGCTATATCAAATCCCACGCCAAACCTTGTATCGACGACTTCGAGGCACATCGTCTCTTGTGAATCGCCCTACACAAGGCACAAAGCTTTCCTGGGACCAAGAGAAGGCTCTGTGTCACTATATCGATTGAATGGACCATATGAACCTTGCTTTGAGACGAGAGCTCCTCATGGATGCTGCCAATCACCTACTAGCGAAGTCTCATACCTCCCTTGACCCCAAGAACCCAGATCCTCCATCAGTTGGCCTTATGTGGGCCAGTCGGTTCATTAAGAGGCATGGATACTTCTATACCAAGGAGAAGACCCTAGATATGGAGCGGAAGAAGTCTGAGGACGTGGAGGCCATCAACGCTTGGTTTCTGAAGTTCCATGAAGCTAACGGGCCCTCGCCAGGGTTTTCTCATATCCACACCCTCCGACCAAGAAAAAGTGGATATGCGGCGAGTACACGTCGTTAACCTAGTACTGGGGCAGGAATGGTCTTGTACAAATCAGAACATGTATGAGGGGCCTGTTTCGGCAGGCCGCCCTCTCCAGACATATCCGGCCTTAAGCCGCAAAATTCAAGAATGGAACTGGGGCACCAGCGGGAACCAGGGACAGATAGAACGCATAGTAGCCATAAGGCACGATTTGGAGGACGATTTGAACTGTATCTAGCAATAGTTATAGGGCGACGGCTCTCCACGCCATATACCCTTCGGGAGGTCGGCCGCAAGGGCGGCTGCGCCCTTGCCGCCACGGCGTTAAATATAACAAACAAAAAAAAATCCAGACGTATGGGATCCAAACAGCTGATATCTGGAATATGGATGAGACTGGCTTCCAAATAGGGTTGGCAAGGATAAGATGGTGATCACTAAGCGAAAGCGGGCTCATTACTTCGCTATTCCAACCAACAGAGAGTCAGCAACTGCAGTCGAAGCTATCTCTGCAGCTGGAGATTATATCCCTGCTTTCCTCATACTCAGCGGCGCTATTCATATGAGTAGATGGTATGAAATCAAAGATCTAGAGGCTGATACAGTAATCGGAGTCTCATCAACTGGCTATACGAATGACCAACTATCTCTGGATTGGATCAAACACTTTAATAAGCACTCAAGGACTCGCACCCAGGGGCAGAAGAGGCTTCTCCTGATCGATGGGTATGGCTCTCATCATACTGTTGAGTTCTTACAGTACTGCGAGGATCACAATATTAGGGAATTGATACACCGGCGTCGACCTTACACCGGCGTCGCTGTTCGACCTTTTGATTGGCTCAAAAAAAAACAATACCTCCCCATAAAGGCGGTGAGGGTGACTGCACTAACATGGCTATTCCTGCCCTCTTCTCTAACCTAAGCTCTGATTTGAGATTTCTAAAAGTACGTATTACAGCCTACTTATACCCCAGGTTTGTGAATCTCAAATAGGGACTATATAACCCCTCGAAAGGCCTATTACCTAACTACCTTTTACAACGTGGTTACAAAGGTTCATCGTCACTACAGACCATTTCCCACTGACTCCGTTTCCTCCGAACACTAGGCTACATCGGCCGTCCACTTACATGATTCCCTATTATCCTCCCCTTACCAAGAACACTAGACTAGCTCCTTATTTGTCGCTAGGATAAACTTAATATCTAACTTTAACTTGGCTAACTTGTCTCTTATGTAAGCTCAGCTAGCATCGACTTATTCTTACTCCCAGGTGGGCGGCCTCGCTTCTTACTACTTACGCCTTGGCTACTATAGGTAGTGCGGGCTTGTCTAGCTAACTGGCCCTCTACAGGTAAGGCTAGTTATGATAGGACAGGCTGCACTGTGTTCTTTGGCCTGCCGCGGAGGGATACAGCAATCTTAGGGTCAAGGATCCGGCGGTATAGATCTAAGGAAGACGTCTCTCGAAGACGCCACCGAGGGTATACCTCCCATTTACTAAAAGTAGCTAAATCTAACTTTTAGGAGTAGATCTTATAGCAGCATAGGATACCCAGCTCAATTAAAACAGTACAGTCTAGACCATAATCTCCAAGGGAGGCTAGGAATGGCCTCGTGCCAGACGGCATTGCCTTCTTTGCCAGCCGGTATTACTTCCCAATTAATACAAGACACTTCGAGGAAAACATCGTTCGAAGTTCGCCTAGGTACTCAAAGCGAGTACCTATATACTCCCGGCCTATAAGCACTTCATCCTCAGCACAAGCTTGCCTAAAGCGTATCTCCTGGTCACCAATCATATCCTACATAACATCAACAAGTCGATATAGGTAACTAAGACCATTTAAAAGATAACTCTTAATATTATTATTACTTAACTCAGTGCCAGAGGTAACGCGAACACCAAAGTTCTGGTATTTTCGGATAGAGCAGCGGGCCCACTGTACTCTTAAAGGTAGGTATATTGTGTGGAGGTACTAGAGGATTGGGCGTTGGTCGTTAAACTCTTTACAGAGCTTGGTCCAGGCTTTCTCAAAAGCGTACTCAGTCTCAGCAAAAACAACAAACTTCCACATCATAAGGACCCCACGATACATATGAGGGGGGGGCTCATCAACAGATATGTTGATATAGGCCTCATCCTCATTACTTAGCGTGGCCATTGCTTGTATTGGTAGCTGATATCCCTCGTCATCAGACCCACTGCTGTTACTGCTACAGCTGCGGTCCTTAACCCACTTCTGCTTAGCCCTGAGCATAACGTTAGAATTGATGTGGTGGATGCAGAGTTGTTGCTGAACGTCTGGGAACTGCTCATTCAGTGCAGCCTTCATCTACTTGTCGTAGTCTATAATAATAACAGTGGGGTAACGGACTGAGTGTTGGTCCATGAGTTGGCGGATTCCTGCTGAGAGAAACTGGAAACCCTCTAGTCTCTCGTTGTCGATAAGGCCAAACGCAGCGTTGTAAACAGATCCAAGGCAGGTCTGCCCAGTAGCTTAGAAGAGAGGGAGCTTAAAGCGATTGGTGTTGTAGGTATTGTCAAAGCTAATCACCTCAGGGAATCGCTTCCACATTTGGAGACAGTAGGGAAAGGTCCAGACAAGGCCAATAAGGCGGTTTGGCTCGGCGTCTGCCCATTTCACCACGTATGGGATGTCTCGCTCATCAAACAGCTTAATTAATGCTATAGTTAGCGAATATCCCGCTAGTTTCTCTCGGTTTATACGAGCCCTAACGTCATAGATATCTCGCTGGGTGAATAAGGAGTCTAGGAACTACTCCTAGACAACAGTACGCACATCGCAAGCCCGAATCCCAACTCGTCGGCTTGTAGTTTCAATGGCATCCTGAAGTAGCTGGGTAAGCCTACGATATAAAGGGTGTGCAGTAGCTTCAAGGCTAGGGCCATGATTATACTAACTGTGCTAGGGGTCTAGGTGATAACGTAAAAGCCACTTGCCCTCCTCTTAAGCCTCGGCAATAACTTGCCATTTACAACCGCATTTACGAGACTTGCGCTGTCGAATGCCAGCACCTTATGTAGGCCCAGGCTTGCCAAACCGATCACACTGGAAGGTATATCGAATAATTCGGCCCCGAGCTTTATGCCTATTCCGCTTTACAATGCCAAATCCATTAGCTCTTACAAAGATATTAACTCGGTCGAAGAGGGCATCATAGGTTTACTCTGGATCGCCAGGAATCGGTGGGTTTGGGATTTCGGTTATAGGAGGAGAGGAGGATTGGTTATTTAGAGTGTGGTAGGAGGCTGCAGTTCGGAAAGACGCTTCGCTTTGAGGGGAGGATTGCCGTAGGGGTGAATAGGGTGGTGGGTTGACTTGGGGACCCTATGTTTCTTACCATTGACGGACATACTCTTATTGTCGGAGGAGTGCCGTTATTAGCTGTTGATTAGTCCCAATAACCTGTAGAACAAGCTAAAGAGCACTATTGAACTGCTCTGTTGTAAGATGGGAAGGTTACTGGGACTATTCGTTGGGAGGAGAGGGGCTATGCTCTGGAGAAAGTCGTGGGAGAGTAGTCCGCTAGGTTTTTATTGTTCCTTTAGGGAAATGACGAGTAAGATATAGCGTAGGCTCTATACTAGGGTAATCGTATATAAGAGGTCGCGTGTCTTATAGTATATAGGCTGGGAGCTCGGTAATAAGGTCGCGCTGCCCTTGAGGATTACCAACTCCATAGAATTGGCTAACGCTAGGGCGGCTGCTTTCTAAGGAGGGAGATGATAGTGGTTGGCCAGATGATGGTGGGAGGCCGTACTCAAACAATGGTCGCTCTCGTATAGGGGGAGGTTTATTAGTAGGGGTATTGCTTTGAGATTGGCCTTGTGGAACATCTCTAACTCCAGTTATAGAAGCCATTATAAGTAAATAGCATAAGTCAGACTTAGAGGCTTGATGATGTAACCTTAGAGGAAAGGGAGCAAAGGAACAAAAAGGGTTGAGATACTTTATGGGTATCTGGCAGAATTTGATTGCACTAACAATGTTTTTTTGAGCCAATCAAAAGGTCGAACAGCGACGCCGGTGTAAGGTCGACGCCGGTGTATCAATTTGCGACGCCGGTATATCAATTCCCTAATATTATCCCCTTTGGCCTTCCTCCCCATTCAACTCATCTCCTCCAGCCCCTCGATGTTGTGGTGTTTCAACCTCTTAAGCATTACCACAGCTTAGCTGTTGATACAGTTGTTCGCGAGGGCTGTACTAGTATCACTAAGCTAGAGTTTCTCAGCTTCATCCAGTCTATCCGCAAACAGGCATTCAAGCGATGTACGATACTTTCAGCTTTTAGGAAGACTGGCCTTATTCCATACAACCCACAGGTAGTATTGGAGAAGGTTGCTGATCGAAGGGGGTCACTACCAACTACACCACCCAACAGATCGTCTCATTCGTCACCATTCAGCACTCCTATGAATATTAAAAAGCTCCAACGAGTTGCCAAGAGGCTCACAGAAGCCTCGGATATTATCAGCAATCAGATCCAAGAGCTGACTGGTGAGAGGTCACCCTTTGCCTATAACCCCAATCGCTTTATTAGAGGGGCTCCTACCCAGGGTTCTGAACTTATTCAGACTAAAAGGGACCTCTCAAGGACTCAATTAGCTGAAAAAGTACGTAAAGCACGTCGCCAGGCGAAGAATACCCAGCTACAAACAGGAGGAATTATCACTGTTCAAGATGGGCGAAGAATGGTCCAGCAGAGGCAAGACAACGAGTATGCAAAGGCACTAGGAGTCATCAAGACGGCGGAGCAGAAGATCCACCAAACCATCAAAAAGGGGGCTTTTGAGGCCGCGAAAAAGGCTAGGAGGATGAGAATTGACCGGCGATTGCAACTAATATATGTAATTAACTGTATAGGTGGTGGGCGTTACTTAAGGCGTGGGTAAAAGTATGAATAGTTACAATTGAATGATTTTTGATCATTTGGGTGTTCAGCACCCACTTTAGTGGGTGACGAGTTCTCGAGTTCCAATTAAAGTGGGAGCAGGCACGGGTACATGTATTGCAAACTTCCCTCTCGCCTAATTTTTCTTGGCATCTACTGTTAGTTCGATAGGTGGGCTACCACTAATATCCTTAACAGCTGAAAACCCTTTACCTCTCTCCTCCGGTGCCCTCCCGCGATAGCCTTATCCCATCGAGTGCTGAATGGCAACAGTACATCCAGTGAGGGGTAATAGCCACTCAGAGACCAGCCAAGCCTTTTTCCAACCAATCAAAAGGCCTAGTTTTCTAGTACCTCTTCCGTCTATATATTCTGGTTATGAAATAGGTACCAGCAATCTTCTGAGTTACAAATCGCAACCCCACACTGCTCACACCCTGACCTCGTCTTCTTCCTATGGGATCGTGAGTTTCCTGAGACTTCGCTAAGCGCCTTCTTTGGCCGATTACACGCAACGCAGGCGGAGGCGCTCTTCCGCGAGACCCTTATATGCTGTTGCCACGGAACAGAGTTATTTCTCGTATTGTCGGCTTCCGCTCGGGTACGTTGAAGGGGTTGAATACGCTGCCCCTTTCGAGGGATGGGGGCTCATATGGGCGTACGACCGCATTATCGCATCTCTCGGGTGTACAGTCAGCAGTACAGGCAGCGGCTAGGTCTTCGGGAAGTACGGCGACGTTGATACACGACCGTACCGACCCCTCGGAATCGCTAGAAGTCATCGCGACGTTTCATCACATAGGAAAATGTCGGTCTTGGTGGTGAAAATAGGGAGGAACCCATAGGGGTAAATGACGTACCGTCATGTATCGCTGTTGTGAGGGGGAAAAGTTGGGTAATAATTGGGGGGGGGGATGTACTGTTGCCATTCAGCACTCGATGGGATAGCCTCCGGCGGGCTCTGGACTATTGCTAGCCTCCTCGGCCGGCCGTAATAGAGGCTCTGGACCCCCTCCGGAATCGTCTCTAACCTCAAGGGCTAAACGCCGCCGCGGTACCGAGGCCTAGCCACCCCGGCCTAGCCTCGTAGGAAGCTAGCCTAACGCCTTTATAATAACCCTGTTGGAACAGCAAAGGCTGATAAGGAGTAATAGGCAGGTACCATGGGCTGGCTGGCACCTGCCCTGGGCGAAGTGGGACAACTGGCTTAGTCACCACGGCCGGATAAAGGTGGGGCAACCACCCAGGCCGTCACTACCTACTTCGACCGACTCCTGCCTACAATGTAAGATAGAAGAACAAAAAAAAGAAGAACAAGCAATAGGATCACCAACAGACGAGTGATAATTGCTACCAATATTTGTCGTATACGACCCCGTGAACCAACAAACCCCCTTAACGGCTAAAGGGCCCTCGATTATGACGAAGATAGCTATTAGAGCTATTCTTATCCCATCGGGTGCGGATGGATGTTACGAGCAGGACAAGGCAACCAACTGTGGCACAAAGCAAAAGCTTCGATAATGATGACTCCGGCATCATTGTTCCTTGTTCTGCATTATATAGCTACGCGCCCACAGTGACAAGTTGCGGCGGGCGTAACAATGGACGCCATTTTCGCCAAGCCCCAAAATACCCACTACTTATCCACTATTACCGCGCATTTAAAGGGGTACTTTGATGGTACGTCATTTATCCCTATGCTCTGTTACCTATTATCACCACTATTACTACCAATTTGATTGATGCTGTGATGTCTTCTAATGATTCTGATTCTGATGCTTCTATTACTTCTGTACGCAGCTGTATAGTAGTTGAGGTCCTTCCAGAAGACCTTACTGCTGCCTGCAATACAGACTGTACGCCCGAGCGCTGTGACGCAGCAACAGTCCGGCCCTGCGAACCTCCGGCTACCGAGCATGGTCTTCCGGGCTCCTTCCGGCCCTTTAACGTGCCGGCCACTCGAAGGACAACACGAAAGGGCTGCTTAGACTGTAATGTACCGTTATGTATTGATAGAGATTGCTGGTACCTCTGGCACACCCAAAATCTATAGAGATTGGAGGTACTAGAGATCTATTGGTTAACTTAAAGGGTTTCCAGGCTCTTATTGGCTCTACCCCGCCCTTGGCGAAAATGGCGTCCATCCGCACCCGATGGGATAGCTCTTAATAAAAGGGCTAAGTATTATAAAGGACGAAAGAATGTCTTTATAGCTATTATTTAGTTTATAAATAACGTAACTGTTACGCCCGCCGCAACTTGTCACTGTGGGCGCGTAGCTATATAATGCAGAACAAGGGACAATGATGACCGGAGTCATCATTATTGAAGCTTTTGCTTTGTGCCACAGTTGGTTGCCTTGACCTGCTCGTAACAAAGAAAAGGACGTAGAAGGGCTACTTAGACTATAATATAGCTTTATATGCCAAGGGAGATTACTAGTACCTATAGTATACTTAAAATATATAAGGAACAGAGGTACTGTTACCCTATTGGTTGACTCGACAGATTCACAAGTCCCTATTGGCTCTACCCCGCCCTTGGCAAAAATGGAGTTATCTGGCACTCGATGGGATACCCCTCGGGAGGTCGGCCGCAAGGGCGGCTGCGCCCTTGCCGCCACGGCGTTAAATACAACAACAACAACTACATGTATTGCCTGAAACTGGAACTTGCCGTGCTGGTTTCTGTGTATTGAGCTTTCGACTTCGGGAGGTCATTAGGAACAGGGAATTGCTGGTTCACCAAAGATCGACATGCACAGGGTCAAGAATCATACTCTGTTGGGTCCAATCAGAAACTCACGCCCTCATCTTCTTCTTCTCTGCTGAGCAGCAGACGCGCATCGATTCCTGATGCAAAACAGCTAACTTACCCACCCTCTCTCTGGATTGCAAAAAGATCAAAAGCAATGGTGCCTCGAGGGCGAATCGAACGCCCGATCTTCTCATGACGAACAACAGTACGAGTGAGACGCTTTACCACTGAGCCACCGAGGCAGGGAAACAAGATCATGGTTGGTGGTTCACAGATGCTGGCGGATCACCGCAGGACGACTAAGGCACACCGCCATTTTGAGTCTCACGATGCACCGACCGAGTTGTCGATGATGGTGTGGTGGTTGTCGAAACTCAATACGAGGGAAACTCTCTCATTTGTTGAGACAAAGATGTGTGAATGACTAACCTCCGCGCGGGTCGTCTCGACTTGCCGTTCCACGCGCGCGATACGTTTCGCCTTTCCCTCAGTTGGGACGGAAGAACTCGAGTGCCTGCGCGCGGGTGTAAGCACCAAAGAAATCTCACAGAATTGGTACGAGGAGGCAGTTTTCATAGGCTGGCATCAAGATAAAAGTATGAAGTTGCTCCTTGATTGTGCATCTGTCTAGCTTCAAAACACCTACCGGAATCGATGCGCGCGGGTCTGATACTGAGAACAAGCCACATCACCGAGCGATGCAGAATCCCTCTGACGTGGTCAAGCCAAGCGCCAAAAAAACGCCAGTGGTGACTATGAATCAACAGCATAAGAGCCGAAGTTGAGATATTCGGTTAGAAGAACGGAATCACAACCATCGGCTTCACAAGCTAGTTGACCTTTTGGCTATTCAGTGCACATGAAGTTTTGACATAATTTATAAAAGCCTGGTTCACTGTCGTTCCCGAGTACTTCCTGTCCTTAGCAAACATCCAAGCTGAAAATCAGAGGCATTGTAGAATTTTGCCAAGTTCAATCAACCCTCAGGCTTTCTGATTCTACATCTTTCAACTTGCCGATATGAGTGCCTTCAAGAAAGTTGCCGTCATTGCAACGAGTACCCGAACCCCACGCATCGGGACCAAGGTCGCAGAACTGGTGAAAGACACGATCACCGCAGACGCCACCAGCAGCGATATCGACTTGTCTCTCGTTGAAGTCGCCACATTCAACTTGCCTGTATTTGACGAGCAGATCATTCCCGCCCAGGTGCCAGCCGCGGGTAATTTTGCCCACGAGCACAGCAAAGTGTGGAGCAGCGAAATTGCCAAGTACGACGCCTACATCATCGTGGTTCCCGAGTACAACCGCGGCCTGTCTGGTGGCGCCAAGAACGCTATCGACTACTTGTACAACGAGTGGATTGTCAAGCCAATCTCCATCGTCAGCTACGGTATCATGGGTGGCAACTCGGCGTCGAGCAGGCTTAGAAGACCCTGGAGGGCATGAAGCTCCGGGTTGCGCCGATGCGACCGGCGCTTGCTTTTGCGGGTGGGGCCGGGCCGGATCTGGTGGCTGCGATGGGCCACGGCGAGATCGGTGAAGAGTCGCGGAAGAAGTGGGAGGCGGAATCGGAGACCATCCTGAAGGCCTTTGGGGAGTTGAAGGAGCTTCTTAATGCGCCAGCTCCGGCCAAGACTGAGCTTTAAGATAGACCTGGGCTTGCAGAGAGCACCACTGGTGCTCGTTGACGGTGGCGTAGAGAAACAAGCTTGATTTTTAGCTAACGTTAGTTAGAGTTAGTTCGCAAATTCCAGATCACCTAACCCAATTCACACGGTGGAACTCCACCTCGTAATATCGCTAAACCCCTGTCGACAGCATCGTGTTCCTTCGTGTTGGTCGAGCTATTGCTCTGCTGCCTATTTGAAAGTTACTGTGCCGCCTGGCTTTGCATTAGCCTGAAATTCTCGTCGCATCGACCATCGATTTGATCCTTCATTGCCCTTCGCCTTTTGTTCTGCATTTTCTCTCTTTTTCCACCTTGCGTCATTCTTCACCGACATTCGTTTTTTGTCCCTCATCGTTATGAGGACGTCCGCTCTCTTCGCGCTCGGTGGCGGCGCAATCGCTGTCTTAGCGCAAATTCATCTACCCTTCTCCCATCAACCTCAGCTGAAGGCCAGTGCCAATGTCGAAACTAGGGACTCGGCCGGCCGCCAATCTGTTTCTGTCACGGATGTTCACGTGACTGATTGGAATTATTTGGTCAACGCCACTGTCGGCACACCGCCACAAGATGTCTCCTTGAGAGTTTCTGTACAGGCTGAGCACACCTGGGTTCCCAACGCCAAGTATTGCGACTACTACAACTACAGCGACTATTATGATTCTACTTCTACGAGGAGCGCCTACTACATCGATTCGTACTCGTGCAAATACGGTGCTTTCCAGAGCAACGAGTCATCCACCTACGTCAATCCCGGCACCGAAGATTTCAGTACCAGGTACTCAGTTGGCCGAGCCCAGGGAGAATGGATTAGCGACACGTTATGCGTGGCTGGCAGCCAGATATCCAAAATGATCATGGGCTACGTTCAATCGGCAGATGTATTGATCGGTGTTCTGGGCCTGGGCTTCAACACCACCAGTGGTGCACAATCCACCGCCAGCCCGAGCAGCACCTCGAATTATCCTACTGTTCCTGAACGCTTGTTACAAGATGGCCTGATAAGCTCCCCTGCGTACAGTCTCTGGCTGGACGACGCGTCGGCCAAGTCTGGAAATCTTCTGCTGGGCGCAATCGATACCTCAAAGTTCGAAGGCCCTCTGATCCGCTTCTCAGTGCGCACAATATCGGAGTGGTCAACGAACAGGCGATTTGATACCTGGATTACGTCCTTCAATGGCAGCAAGTCGGATGTAGATGATCTACAGCCTCTTGGAGAATCTTCGAGCCAATCAACCGACCCATATGATACCTCGAATCTGGTCCTCCTCTCGCCAGATGCTGCTTTATCAGTGCTACCAGACGACATAGCCATAGCTCTCTGGGCTCTCGCTGGCGCTTCTTGGAATGATGATCTCGGCTACGCCATCATCCCCTGCGCGGCGGCGAATACCACCACGGGACGCCTGGCCGTCCAATTTTACGGATCGGACGGACCCGTCCTGAATGTAGCTATTGCGGACCTCGTGGTTTCTCAAGATGCTTGGTCTCATTCTGAGTGGTCTTGGGAGACCGAGTCGGCTTCCGAATACTGCCTGTTCGGGGTTTAGTCAGAAAACTCTACCTCAACATACACGTCTTCTTCCTACCTCTATAGCTTGGGCAGCGCATTCCTCAAGCATTCCTACATGGTCTTCGACCTTATCAATGAAGAGATTGCTATTGCAAAGACGAAATTCGGTAGCACCCAGACGGAGGACCTAGTTCCGTTCTCGGCCTATGGAGCCGAGATTCCCGCGTCGACAAGTGTTGTGCCGGAGTGGTGCTCATCTTCATCGTCTAACTGTAGAACAGGGGACTCGGGCTCGGGCTCCGGGGGCGGATCGTACGACGGTGGTACCACCTACATGGGCGATGGTTATTACCCTGGGCGTCTTCCTCTAGAGTCAAATCTAGCCATCGGTCTCAGTGTCGGCGTTTTCTGCACTCTGGTTTTGGGCATGTCTATCTGGGCCATCAGACGAGGCCGCCGCATCAGCAAGGCGCAGAAAGAGCTGGCTGAAAAGCAAGCCGACGTAGAACAAGGCGGCGATACACGGGTCGTGGATGGCGACGGCAATGGCAGAAACGTGGATCGAGAGGCCTCGCTTCCTCAACATCCGCCAGCTGCAGCGACTCGAGATCCTTCCGTGACCGATGCAGCTGCAGAGCAACGTGCTACTGAAACTGTGGGAACTGCCAAGTAAGAGCGAAGTGTATGACATACAAACTAAATGCAACCTGTAATTACCCCGGGCCATGTGCCACGGAGTGTGATCATTGAAACAATTCATTGCGCTTCTGCCTAAAAACTCTGATCCTTCGACGATACATACTGCCGAAATCTGGGGTTCATGTCAACTGCAACTAAAGTAACGTGCGGACCGATCCGACTTCCGTTTATGACGACCATGTCTACTTAGTTACTAGACATGGCGAGCTGAATAGCGATTCGGACAACTTGCACAACGTGGTAGGAGTCGCTTGATACCCAAATCTCAACTTACCCTGACGCTGAATGGTGGTTCGTTGCTTCTCGCAGATCCTCATCTAGGGAATCCGCTGCGTCGGTTTCCATTTGCAACGTTGCAGATCATATATAACTTCGAGTGAGCCTCATGGACATTGCAGATGGCATAGGAAACCTCGGGATCAACCGCCAATACCACCTTGCAATATGCAAGAAATCAGATGGCAGCTGCTCAGATGGTGTTAGCAACTAGAAGAAGTTCCTGAGGTAGCCGCTCTTGACGAAAGGGCGGAGCGGGTGATGTGCCGCTGCCGTCTTATCACATTTTCACCTTCCAGAAGGGAATAGTGAATTCCGTAGGATCTTTTCAGGGTGGTGTATCGAACGGGGTAACTCTATACCGAGTTTGGATATTCCGGTTGTGGTTTGGTCTCTCTTTTGACACTTTGTCTTGTCTAATTTGTCTCGGCAGTGCAAGTTGGCCAGAGGTATCAAAGACAACACCCACTTACTGGAATTTAAGGTCAACAGAAACACGTCACAAGTCTCTCCTATAATTCCGCTACCGCGATAAGAAAGAGACAGCTTTTGGGGATTCGCCAGAAACGAAGCATGTGCTCACATTGAGCCTGTCCCAAAGGGGCGATAAGCCCACGCAGCGGAGGGTCACATTCGGCCCCGACTCGGTCATTCGCCCTACATTGGCCAAATTGTAGGCACATGGCCATTCAAGGGTAGCTCCTGAAGAATGTCAGAGCTCAGCCAATCTCAACGACTCTTCTCGTTGTGCTAACAGAGGAAAGTCGGCTACCACCTGCATTAGCCCCGGCCCCTCACCTTGCTCCTAACCACTCACCGGGCACCATCACCAAATCCTCACCTTTGGTGTTGGCGCTCCCTTGACACACAGAATTCCATAGCGAATCTCCGAGCTGTTGCTTGCAACCAGTACTCTGGGTGGGTACGTTGAACTATGGTGTGCTAATGGTACATTGAGCGGCCAGCTTTGCAGGTCATCGCCAACTTCATTGCTACCACTCGAACGTGACAAACAGACGACGCGCTCAAATTATTTCACATGCACAAGCCAGCATACCAAAATTTTGTCCCAGAAGCGGATCTAAGGGGTCTTCATGCCCGAAAAAAATTGACAACCTCATTTGAAGACGAGTAACGTTTCGGTTGGAATGGGCCGGGTTTGCAAGTGACATCCAGACGACTGGATGCCAGGACTTGAACAATGACATTGTTGCTCGACGGCTGACTACTGTAGATAGCGTCTTGTCTAACATCGCCGGACACAACTAGTATAATATGATCAGTTGATCGCTTCATGTCCAGTGACGTGTACCTGACTTGCAGAGACATTCTCGTATTCACCCCTTTAGCAAGCTATTTAACGGATCAACTCATATCGCTTTCAAGATGAAGTTTCATCAATCATTAATCACCATGGGTGCCATACTCTCAACAGCTGTGCGCCCCTCGACGGCGGCGCCGACGAACATCACGGAGCGAGGTCTCCAGGGCTACACAAATGCAGTCTACTTCACTAACTGGTAAGTTTTGGTTGATTATAGGTAAAAGGGTTCTGCTAATCTCATTGAAGGGCTATTTACGGTCGCAATTACCAGCCCCAGAATCTTCCGGCATCGCAGATCACCAATGTTCTCTACGCCTTCATGAATCTTCGCGCGACGGGTGAAGTGTAAGTCAATTCGCAACTCGCCCTAGACGACTAGCGCAGGAACAGGCAAGCTAATATTCCAACCCACTCAAAGCTACGCCGCCGATACCTATGCCGATTTGGAGAAGCACTATCCCACCGATTGTAAGACCCATTGTTCATGGCTAGCCTAATACCGACTTATACTGACTCATTGTGACTATAGCATGGAACGATGTCGGCACTAACGCCTATGGCTGTGTCAAGCAGCTCTACCTGTTGAAGAAGGCCAACCGCCGCATGAAAGTCATGCTCAGCATCGGAGGCTGGACATGGTCAACCAACTTCCCCGCTGCCGCCAGCACGCCTGAGGGCCGAACCCTCTTTGCTCAGTCCTCGATCAAGCTCATGAAAGACTGGGGTTTTGACGGCATCGACATCGACTGGGAGTACCCAGCCGACGCCACTGAAGCAGCCAACATGGTTCTCCTGCTCCAGGCAGTCAGAAGCGAGCTGGACTCCTACGCCGCCCAGTACACTCCCGGCTATCACTACCTATTGACCATCGCCTCACCCGCCGGCCCCAGTCACTACAACGTCTTGAACCTTAAAGCAATTTCGGATGTCATTGACGCCTTCAACTTGATGGCTTACGACTATGCCGGCTCTTGGGATGCCAATAGCGGCCATCAAGCGAACTTGTACCCGAACCCCAGCAACCCTTCTTCGACTCCCTTCTCGACCGATGCCGCAGTCAACGATTACCTCGCAGCGGGCGTTCCAGCAGCAAAGATCGTTCTCGGCATGCCAATCTACGGACGCTCGTTCGAACAGACCAACGGCATCGGCCAGCCGTTCTCCGGCATCGGTAGCGGATCCTGGGAAAATGGGGTATGGGACTATAGGGCTCTTCCTCGAGCGGGCGCGACTGAGCTTTACGACGCCACGGCTGTTGCTTTCTACAGCTACGACTCAGCCGCCAAGGAGCTGATCTCTTACGATACCCCCGCTGTTGTGCGGACCAAGGTCTCCTACTTGACTGGCAAGGGTCTCGGTGGCTCCATGTTCTGGGAGGCGAGCGGTGACAGGATTGACAGTGGGAGTCTTCTGGCCACCAGCTTTAATGCGCTCGGTGGCACTGGCACCCAGGACCAGAGTCTTAACCAGTTGAGCTACCCTAACAGTCAGTACGACAACATCCGCGCGGGTGTACCGGGCGGTTGAAGCTGGAGCTTGAGATGTTGTAGCTCATGTCATTTCGGTCTTTTTTGTCACACGGTGTTTGGTGTAATGGGTTTTGGGCTACTTGGATTGTCCAGATGCCGGTTCAGCTTATGCACTTTTTCTTTTATCTGGGCTCGGATGTGGGCTTTTAGTTCTTTACTTCTCTTCTACTTAATATCTCAGACGATGATTCAATAACTTTTTTTCTCTCGATGACATCTGCTACAGTTCAGCTCACTCCATTCACCTCTGCTGTGTGTCTTATGCCAACAACATCGTGTCTCAACTCAGTTCTCCGTAGCCTTTCCTTCCTCATCCTCAATTTTCTGTCCATAGACAACGTGACTGAGAAGCTATTAGTACAGTCATGTAACCTCAAGGTTCTTTCAGCTTACTAGTTTAGATATGCGTGGAATGCACCGCTCTTCAACTCTTGGCGAACCTGGGCCAACAGCACCACCACCTCCTCCCTAGTCCATCCAAGAACACCAATGAACAGCTTCAAGGTGAATGCATCGAGACCCTCCAGAGTTTGAGCGAGGTTGCACCATCCTAAATCCTTATTGTGGGCGTCCTTAGCCCAAGGACCCAGAGGTATCTTGAAGTGCTGGTGGACAACATTCTTGAACGGCGCTTGGCGAACCCAGCCCTCCAGTTTGGGGCCTGGGGAGTCTTCGCGGCCCAGCTTCTTGCAAGCTTCGATGAACAGTCGATCCCAATTCATGATTGCATGCTCCTCCGTAAGTGTTCCGTCATCGCATGCGTAGAGCACACTCATGTCTTGGAACTCGGCCCAGCCCTTTGGCGCAAGATTTCTAGCGAGCAAACCGGTTATTCTAATCTGACCGAGGGAATAGGTGCGCATCATTGTGCAGCAGTGGTTGCCGCCTCTAAGGAAAGAGCTATTGAATGCCAGAAAACTCACTCGTATACTCTGTTGACGAGCTTTGGCCAGTCTGCGATAGATGCCGCCATGTATCGCGTGAAAATGAAGTCGTATTTGTTGCTGACAACCCATGCGCTTTCGACGTCATCAATCTCGAACTTGACATTTGGCGGCACCCTGGTTCCAAATTAGCCAAAGCCGTCTTTCCAATGACCAATGCTCTTACCATGCTGGTTGGATTGGGCTCAAGTCGTTTCCAAAAATCTACCATACTCTCAATGTCAGCCTCTTTCTCGCCACAGCGCTTGATATTTCATGCGCGTGTACCTCGGCATTCGGAAAGAGGTCGGCAATCTCGATGGCCCCTATTCGGTCACACTGATGGTTAATTCGGCGACGTAAAATTTCATCGGTCCCAAGAAAGCTTACAGATCCCAGTACCGGTTCCGACGTCGAGGATGCGGTGCGTCACCTCAGCCTTGATGGGGGCGAGGAAGAACTTGTTGCCGATGGTCTTGACAATCATCGTATGTGTCAAATCTAAGCGATCCATCTCTCTCTGACACAAATACAATGTCAGAAGCGACTAAGCGGAAGATTGGATTCATGTGCGGCGTTCTTACCTCATCATTTGGAAAGTTATATGCTGTTTACAACGCAGTATTGTTGTGTGAGCTGTGCTGGGTGTGCTACATGCGATCTTTGACTGGCCACTTACATCCTGCTCGGAAAGCATGATAGGTTCGCCCGTACTCTTCCGGATAGTCTACAACGCTTGATGTCAAAGATGCTGTATACGAAGAGCTAGAGATATGAGCCACGTTAGCCAATTGACCCAATCGGCCTGCCATCTTGAAGGGTGACAGGGTATCTAGCTGTTCTTTACATTCGGTCGTCGATAGTAGATGCATCATTGGCACTCTTGTCATCGTCAGCCACGATTTCTTTGCCCTCCTGGATACATGCTCAAGCAACTGACACTAGAGTTGTCATCTACTTCCAGCGGTGCTGCTGCGATCGAGACTCCACGCTGTGCTGATGAAACAGCAGGACCTGAACTTGGCTCGGCAAGGTTATTTGCTGTAGGTGATGCTAATCCAGACATTCTGGAAGTGTTTTCAAGTGCTAAAAACAACAAGAATACTAAATTGCCTATCGTTGCGTACTGGAAGGACGAGCTCAAGCCGAGAATCGAGGGTCTGAGTGATTTTGTGTCTTTCAAATCACCAAGGTCAAGAATGAACCCCGCAGCTTGGCGGCACAGCCCGTTGTTGGTCGTCCTGTTGGCCATTTCAACATGAGGCAATGTAAGAGGCCGGTCCTCGTCCGGACTGGGGGTCATGTGGGTTATCAGGTGCTCCATATGATAGCAAACAGGACATGTAATCTGACCTTCGGTCGATTTATGATCTTCAGTTGGTTGATAGTATGCAGTGAGAAAGAAAAGTGATTGGACAAAAAAAGACCTTACCCGTTGCAAGACCTGGCCGCTTTCTGTATTCGGAGCCGTATCACAAATGACAAAATGCTGCTTTGGAGTCTTATTGGATACATGAATCAGACATGGTCCACAACCTTGAGGACATGGGATTGACCCCGGCAGACTTCTCCGCGGTGAGATCTTTGTTGGCCCAGGCTAGTACAATAAGGGCAATGAACTCCTGCTTCTGAGATCGACGTAAAATTTTGGCATCACGAAAGGGACAAGAAAGTTGATCATTGAGATTGAGCCTCGCTTGGGCCTGTGGCTTGCATCCGCATGATCTGCTGCATCAAGTCAGATAATTATACTCAGCCAACTGGCTCATTGCAAAGGTAATGGCGATGTTTTAAGTTCAACCAAAAAATAATCGTGATAGACCAGTGGCCTGGATGGTAGCTCGAAGTGACGTACTCCGTATAGTTATGGGTATTGTGGCATTGGCTCACCTAAAGATCCTGAATACGTGCAGCCCCGGCCCCCGATCTTGCAAGGGCGTCTATCAACTTAAACACCAATTTCCCAAGATCACCACCTCGTGTTCATGTTGGATACCAATGTGATACAAGTAGTCTGCCATCTCTATTCTCTATGCCTACTTCGAACTCAGGGGAATTCTATTCACGCTAGTCATTTGCGCCTGGTGAATGAGACGGAGCTTGTGACTGTGATGTACCAGATTAGCTTCGTCTTGCAACTTTTTGGCCGGTTCGAGCCTTTGCTCCTTCCAATCGACCAGCTTAGCTCTGCATGTCCAGTTCGGTGCACAACTTCCCTCTCGCCTAATTTTTCTTGGCATCTACTGTTAATGTAATAAATGGGCTACCACCAAAATCCTTAATAGCTAAAAACCCTTTACCTCTCCTCCGGCGCCCTCCTGCGATGGCCTTGTAGCCTCCGGCGGGCTCTAGACCGTTGCCGGCCTCCTCGGCCGGCCCTGATCGAGGCTCTGGACCCTCTTCAGAGCCGCCCCTATCCTTAAGGGCTAAACGCCGCTGCGATACCGAGGCCTAGCTACTCCGGCCTAGCCTCGTGGGAAGCCAGCCCGACGCCCTAATAATAACCCCCTTAACGGCTAAGGGGCCCTCGATTATGACTGGTACAGTTACTGGAGCTGTTTTTATAGCTCTTAATGAAGAGGCTAAGCATTATAAAGCCCGAAAGGATGTCTTTATGGCTATTACTGTCAAGTTGGGGTTGTTGACGCAGGGTGGAAGCTCTCAGAGGCCAACTGCAGTTAGGGGTAGAATGATGAATTACTGAAATCTGCTCCTCCCCCGACGTGTACTCCCTGCGCTGTATATATATCTGAGCTGCTCCTTTGTTGCTTGGACTCCTTACTACCTCTAACTAGCCCCTTTCGGGAGGGCTCTGACAATTACTTAGTCTGTGGATAACGTGATCTCTTACTTTGAGGGGCCTAGGAAGTAGATTGTAAAAGAAGCTACAACCTATGTAATCTAAGCTTTGAAGAGGATTATGGGTAACGAGATTATGGCTCCGGCTCCGAGCCGGAAATGGACTGACGTAGTAGCCTCGGCTTTAACTATAGCCGTGGCCGTAGTCCCGACCCGTACCCGAATCTCTACCCGGCCCGAAGTCTAGACATAAGTCAAACCCCCCACTTCCTGGCACCCCCCTGTTTCTGGCACCACAAAAACGATGGGATCACAACCCGACCTCCTCATTACTATTAACTATTGATCCTCAACCACACCCACTACAATACAGCTGCCAGCCTCACTAGGGCATTCAGAGTCGCTGGATTCAGCCGTGATAACCTCCTTTTCACCCGCTTCGATTTGAGCCCGATGGATATCCCTGATGTTCGCGAACTTCGTGTTGGGATCGATTTGAACAGTCTTCCTCTTCCTCACTGCAGCGTTGGTAACTTGAGCCCTCAGGTGAGCTAGTTGCTGCTGGGCAGCTGCCAGTTGCCAGGCCTGCTCTGTGAAGCCTTTTTTCACCTTCCTGAATAGCAGCCGTTGAGTGCTGGTATCATTGTCGAGTTGGGTGTATAAGTGCAGTTGACCGCTGAGCTCTGCCAGCTTCCTGGGTGTCGACCAGACCACTGCAGAGGAGGCAGAATCCCATGGCTCAACAGGGGTAGTTTGTTGACCATTATGGCATCGCTTTCTGCCCTGACTAGTTGGTTTGGGTGTGGTGGGCTTAGCAGGAGGCTCAGGTAGTACCATAGGGTTCATCAGGGGCTTAACCATCGCCACAGGGTGTAGACCAGTCCACTTCCAACCACTTCTGATGTTCGAGACTGATAGACCAGCAAGTCGAGCCTTCTGGTAACAGTCCAGGAAGTTCCTTTTACCTATAATGGTAGAGTCGTTCCATTGAGACAAGTAACCGAGCTCCTTCCGATAGGCTGACTTAACAGGGCTGAAGACAGACTGGTCAAGAGGCTGGAGGACATGAGAGGAGTGTGGTGGTAAGAACAGTAAATGGATATTGTTAATATAGCAATTCCACATGAAGTCTGTCGTCGTATGACTCCCATGCCCATCCACAATCAGCAGTCGAGCCTCCCCCTCAGCCTCAGGCATAGTCTGTGGGATGAACACCTTCTCTAACCATTCAATGGCAGTTAAGTCTGTAGTCCAGCCATTATCTGTTGCTGTGAACTCCCACCCATCGTATGGAACGAGATGTAATGGAAACCACTGCTGTTGGACTGTCTTCCCCTTGAAAATGATAAGAGGACGAAGTGCCCTACCCAAGGCTGAGATACACTCAATGATAGAGAACCATGCCCTCGACCCAGGTTGTTTCTTGCGAACAGACGTCGTCTCAGCCATACCCAGCACTAACCCATTAGCTCCCTGACCCTCGAGGATGCCAGTCTCATCCATATTATATCTGTTGGCTGGTTTGATGTCCTTGATCTCAGGGATAGCGAGGAACTTAAACCAGTTCCTAATGACCTCAGTAGATGCCCCATTAACGCGTCTAGAATCGATAGAACGACTTCTCTGAACCTTAATGATAGGGTTCCTTCTCACAAAGGCATAGATCCAGCCTTTTCCCAGTGGTTTGGTATCCCCAGCAGCAGCCAGAACTCGCTCTGCGAATTCCTTCACCTGTTGGTGCGTTGGTGCGAGGCCCAGCGAAGCCTGAATGCGAACCCATTGTGCCAGCTTACTCTCCTGGTCAGGAGACAGCCTCTGCCAGTCAGCAAAAGCCACTTTCCTAGTCTGACCACCTTGGAGACGTAGTTGGAGGGTTGATCGTGGTATCCCATACTCCAATGAGGCTCTCTTTTGACTCTTGCCGTTTGAGATGTCCTCGAGAGCCTGACGAAGCTGATCTTCGGTATATTGAGGCATTAGATATAGAAGAAGGTATGTGCAAAAGATGAGCCCATTTGGACGCGAATTGAAAATGTTGTGATAAAAGGAGGTTGGGGGTGGGCATTGGGTTGTGGTGGATTTTCGCGTTTTTGTGGGTGCCAGAAACAGGGGGGTGCCAGGAAGTGGGGGGTTTGACTTAGAGTCTGACGGAGACCCGGGCCTAGGCTCTATCCAAACCGAAGGAGGACCTCCGGGTCTTTACCCGTATCCTAGAAGAGGGCCTAGCGGCTGCTAGGAAGCACGCCCCCTTTGCCCTACGCCGGATAGTCTGCCAGGCCCTTAGGCTCTAGCTAGCAGATATCCCACATATCTACTATATTATAACTGGCTACTCACTAAGACCACTGAATAAGCAGGTCCAGTAAGCCCTCCTTGCAAATAAATAGGAATTAGCAGAGTATCTTAGAGCTTATAAGGTTGAGACCCTTATTAAGTGGTTTACTTATGTCGTCCTACGTTACTTTGCTAAGATATGGACTCTTGATAGTAACGCCCTTAACCCAGCTACTCTAGTAGAAGATGAGGTCCTTACCTAAATAGGACGTAAACCTACCCGGGCCTACCCCCCCTACCCAGCCAACCTACCCTAGCTACCTCAAGCAGCAGGGCTCAGCGGGTGGCGCAGAAGCCTGATTACAACGTTATTAATGCCTACACCCACCTCGACCTCGACTCAGAGCAGTAGGCTCAGGCCAGCCTCCCCACGGGCACTACGAGTCGCCCAGTGTAACGTGGGGAAGAGAAGCCCAGCTCATACAGCTCTCCTAGAGCTCTGCTGGGCGGATCAGATCGATATAGTACTGATCCAGGAGCCCTGGATAGGCTATAGAGATAAGATGCAAATCAACACACACCCAGGCTATAACTCTTATATCCTAGTTGACTTCTGGAACAACAGAGATACAAGACCTAGGGTTATGACCTATATACGCAAGAGTCTAAGACTACAAATACAGCAACAAAGGCCTACCCAAACGAGAGATATCTTATGGGTTAAGGCTGGCAACTTCACTATTATCAACGTATATAGGCCGCCAGGTGAGCCGACAAACCACACGACTACTGCTATCCTAGGATACTATCCGCCAGAAAGAGCCCTTATA